TATATATAAATACACACACACACATACAGTATATATTTTGAAAATATTTACATGTGCATACATTTATATATTTATATTATTATATTTTATATTATATATTAATATATAAACATAGCATAATTTTCTTAAATATACTGTATACATGCACATGTTTGTATTTATATATACATAATAAATATACACTGTACATGCTCATATATTATGTAAACAAAGCTTTTATTTTGGATGCGATTAATCATTTGACAGCACTAGTTTAAACTCATCGTCTATTCCTGTGAGTGTTGAATGAGGTTGTTGCCAGACATCATTGCACAACTCTGGGTTGGATGTGAGAGTAATCCCTGCGGTCCGGAGCACAGGAATGTTAATGAAAGGTGTTGTGTCAGGGACGCCGTGAAGGCCAGCGTCTGTACCTCAATCTCAGAGTCCAGAGGGGGGACAGGGTCACTGGCCCTCTTCCTGCCTCTCAGCTTCCCATCTGAGCTGCGTCTCGCTGGAGCACCTTCCTGCTCCTTTCCTGGAGTCGGAGGACTCGTGGGAGCATGGTACTCTGCTGTCACACACACACACACACACACACGAGCATGTGATGACATGTCATATACTGTACATACACACATACAACCAAATATCTCAATACCAAAGCAAACAGTCCTGAAAGTTTCAAGTTAGCACTATTGTATTAAATACTTAAGTACATCACACATAATAAGTCATACACTGTACAAAAAGGGACTATTTTTTAAATATAGCATAATTTGGTTACTTTAATGTTTTGTAGTATCTTTGTAACTTTTAAACTTTCTTTGTTTTATACTACTATAATTACGTATATAGACAGACATTTTTTTCTATCTATATTTTCTATATATAGACTCTATATAGATTATATATATAGACTTTACTCAGACTATAGTTCATAGGGTTTTTTTGTTTGGCACTATTTTGTTATATATATACTGTATATATATATAGAGAGAGAGATTTTTAGCTACTTTTCATAGTATTCATTGTTTTTTGTTTTTTTTTCAGACAGTTTTTTCATACAACGTTTCCTACATATTGAGCATTTTATACTATTTTGCATAGTAATTTTTTCTTAAGTATTCCCTATATATTAAGCTTTGCCAGCTGGCAGGATTTTATATATTTAATATGGTTTTTCATACAATTTTTCATAGTATGTTCTTAAGTATTCCCTATATTCAGCTAGATATTAAATCTAGATATTAAAGCAACTTGAAAATGTTTTTTAAGTCTGTTTTAGCAAGTTGACATTTATTATATATTATAAGTTATATATATATTTTCTCTATAACAATTTCTCTATAACTCTATAACCTTTTCATACTATTTTCATACTATTGAGCTTTGCTCAATTTAAATATATGACTATTTTTCATAGTATTTTCACAAATATTCACTATATATATTTAGCTTTTTTTTAATTACTAAGATTACATTTAGAGAAAAACATATAGTCAATCATCTGGATATTTCAACTTGAAAAAGTTTTTTTTTTAATCTTAACAATTATTGCAAGTTGGCAGTATTTTTATATAAATATTTCCCATACCATTTTTGAACTTTTTCAAACACATTTTTCATAATATTTTAAACATATTTTTCATAATATCTGTCTTGCCATTTTCAATAAGTATTCCCTATATCTAATATAAAAATAACATTGAGAATGTTAATCAGCTTCACCATTTTCACCATAGAGCTCACCTGTGTGTGATTCCGGGCTGTGATTGGTCGATACAGCTGGATGATCTGTGTGCTGATAGGGTATCGCCGTGGTGATGGCTGAGGGCGTGATATTGCTGGTTGTGATGTACGGGCTGTTGTAGTGTGTGTTGTAGTATGGCGAATATTGATTTTGGCTGTAGTTAGAATATGTTGAGAAGTCCTGATGGAGACAATGACATGAATGAATCATCTCAGACTACATACTACTATCTATGTCTCGTTTTGTCTAAACCCTATTGCAGCATTCATTGATGGTTGGCTAATATACCATGGTAGTCAAATTATACTATAATGTACTAAAAATGCCATGGTTTTATCATTTTAGTCATGCCGCTTTTTTTGCAAAGGTATAACAAGTGTTGCCAAGTCCACGGTTTTCCTGCGGAATTGGGCTCCTTTAAAGGAACACTCCACTATTTTTGAAAATAGGCTAATTTTCCAACTCCCTTAGAGTTAAACAGTTGAGTTTTACCGTTTTCGAATCCATTCAGCCGATCTCCGGGTCTGGCGGTAGCACTTTTAGCTGTAGCTTAGCATAGATCACTGAATCTGATTAGACCGTTAACATCTCGCTCAAAAATGACCAAAGAGTTTTGATATTTTTCCTATTTAAAACTTGATTCTTCTGTAGTTACATCGTGTACTAAGACCGACGGAAAATGAAACGTTGCGATTTTCTATGCCGATATGGCTAGGAACTATACTCTCATTCCGGCGTAATAATCAAGGAACTTTGCTGCCGTACCATGGGTGCAGCAGGCCTAATGATATTACACAGTACCTGAAAATAGTCCCCAGCACGCTCCCTGTGCAAGAAGGTGGTCACGTTGGTTATGTTGGCGGAAGTTAGCCTATTTTCAGGCGCTGACCATTTTTGAGCGAGATGTTAACGGTCTAATCAGATTCAGTGATCTATGCTAAGCTACAGCTAAAAGTGCTACCGCCAGACCCGGAGATCGGCTGAATGGATTCGAAAATGGTAAAACTCAACTGTTTAACTCTAGGGGAGTTGGAAAATGAGCCTATTTTCAAAAATAGTGGAGTGTTCCTTTAACACTGTTGCCGCAGGTTGAAGCATGATATTTAGCCCCTGGAATGCAATTTTTACCAAGGGAACCTCGGCAAAAAAACGTGTATTTTACCCCCAGAACAAGATTTTCTACCAGGGGACCCCTCAAAACACGATTGGGCTTGTGAAAATCTGGCAACCCTGTATACAACAGTATATCAGTCTCCAAGGGTGATTGTAGTCCATCAGCAAAGGTGCTGTGTGATGCATTTTCCTAATTTGACCCACCTGCTGTGCAGGACTGAACGGCGTTGAGCCTGTGATGCTGTTTGCACCCTGGAAAATTCCAGAAGAAATGCTGCCGCCTGGAAAAGAAGCACAACGCTAGTTTAAGAGCGTACAACGAGCTGACTGCTGTAAAGACACTCCAAAGCGCACGATCCAACACAAACACGACACAGGAAACACGACAGGCAGCGGCCGAGGAACGGCTGGTGAAATATAGACACGTTTAAAGCACTCAGAGAAAGTCTGCTTGATTTATGACTACAAAAAAAATTCAGGTGAGAAACTGCCCAGTGCAAATCCGTCTCCGTTATCAGACTTTCAGAGCTTGAATGTCTTTCTCCAGGCCCGTCTAGTTCCCTTTTTTCTGTCTCGTTCCCTTCATATTCCCACTCGTTGGCTTTCTGAAACCTGCCCTAGATAAATGAGTGTGTCAAAACAGCACCAAATCTCCAAGGAAGCAAGCAGAAAGTCTTCAAAGGGGGAGAGAGGGAAGTGGGCGAACGCTGGGGCTGTGTTTCTGATTTTCTCCACAGCGGTGAAACGCGAGGACCTTTGGCACCCGGAGAAGGGTTATTTATTTCATGCTACAGCAGGTCTCCTGTTGGAATTTGCCTATAAATCAAACGAGACCGGCGAGATGCAGCGCGAGACGTAGTAAGCGCGTTTTCCCAGACCCATTAGAAATCCATCCATTTCACAAGCAGACAATTTTACAGTAAATGATGTCTCGGGACGTTTATGAATTACTGTAAATCCCTCTAATACGTTATAGATGATATTATCTGCCATAGCACTAATTCTCTACTACTAGCACTACTCATTGATTATGCTAATTAGACAGACAGGAAGTAGATGTCTTGTGCTTTATGACTTTGAATGTTTGAACTGTTCACACTACTTTACAAAAGTTTGGGATCAGTGAGAATTTGTTAATGTTTTTGAAAGAAGTCTCTTCTGCTCACCAAAGCTGCTTTTGGTTGACTAAAAATACATTAAAAACAGTAATATTGTGAAATATTTTTATAATTTAAAATAAATGATTTCTATTGTAATATATTTTAAAATGTAATTTATTTCTGTGATGCGCAGCTGTATTTTCAGCATCATTCCTCCAGTCTTCAGTGTCACATGATCTTCAGAAATCAGTATAATATGCTGAGTTGCTGCTCAAGAAACATTTCTGATTATTATCAATGCTGAAAACAGTTTTGTGTTAGGAATAGACTGATACTCAAATCAATATTCACTGAAAATCATTAACACATTTGGCATGTCAATAGTTTTTGAAATTAATGAAAGAAATTTTTGCATGTGCCAATTTTTACAGAGAGGAAGATTTTAGTGAACAATTAATTAATTCAGCCTGATCCTCACACAAGTGTTATTTTAGTATTATTTATATACTATCATAGTTTATTAATGTTTTTAATTTTTATATTAAATTTTTTGTTTAATTTTTTATAATTTTCTATGCCCTTTTGTTATTTTATTACGATTATTATTTTTGTAATATTATGATTCAGTTTCAATTTGGTTTTAATTAGATTTCTTTTTAGTCATTTTATTGCTTAAACTTATTTCAATTTCGAAGACGACATTTAAAAATTTTCTTTAGTTTACGTTTTTCATCTAATATTTGTATTTTATTTTATTAAAAAAAATGTTTTTAATCGTTTTCATTAACGATAATAACCATACCTCACACAAAGCAAATCATATGGCTTTAAAAGATTTTATTCAAAGATTTAGCTTTTTCTTCCTTAATGTGCTTGTTTTGTCCTCTGACAGCCCATGGCCACTATTTGCTTTCACTTCATGGAAAAACCCCCTTCAATTTTCTTCAAAGCATCTCCTTTTGTGTTCCATGGAAGAAACATCATCAGGCTTTGGAACGACATGCCGGTGAGTAAATGATGATGACTAGTAATTCTGTCTCTTTAAACCTGAAAACGTGCCTGGTGCCACTTCACCTCTGACCTTGACCGAGAGCGGTCAATTTCACACTGCTGTGCCAAAATCAGGACTGCGGGCAGAAGAGGGGCGACTGACTGCGATCAGACGCTCAGATCCCGTCTGAGACTCACTCCCACACTAACACGCTCCTCCAGTGGCCGGCGTGTTGCAGAGAAAGGTCCTGACCTCCTGAGAGAGCAGAGAGAGACGCCTGACGCCAGGAGCCAGACCGCGGATAATGGGGAACAGGTGTGTGTGTGTGTGTGTGTGTGTGTGTGTGTGTGTGTGTGTGTGTGTGTGTGTGTGTGTGTGTGTATGTGTGTGTGTGTTGGGGGGATCGACTGTAGACGGCACCTGAAAAATCAGTGTGTGTATTTGTGGGGATTTGTTAAAAATAAATGTGTTTTTGTTTATAAGTATAGTTGTATTTGTAAAAATTCCAGTTGATAATACTTATTACCTGACTTCTGGAATACTTAATTCCTGATTGGTCAAAATATGGTGTAATGACGCTAAACTGTTAGGCAAGTAATTTCCTACATGAATGTACTAGTATCATACCATAGTCCTGATCTCCACGTCTGGGTTTTTTCTGTGATACTGACTGACTGACTGTATAATTTTTTCATTAAAATGAATGCTTTTATGCAGCAAGGATGCATTAAATAGTTTGAAAGTGACATTAAAAACAGTAACATTAAATGTTACAAACGTTTTCTATTTAAAAAACTAAAAATGCTGTTCTTTTTTTTAACTTTCTATTTTATATCCTGAAAATAAAAACGTATCACTGTTTCCGCAAAAAATATGAAGCAGCACAACTGTTTTTGACATTGATAATAATAATGTTTCTTGAGCAGCAAATCAGCATATTAGAATGATTTCTGAAGGATCATGTGACACTGAGGAAGACTGGAGGAATGATGCTGAAAATTCAGATTTGATCACAGGAATAAATTACACTTGACCATATATTGAAATAGAAAAGAGTTATATTAAATTGTAATGATATTTCACAATATTATGTTTTTTCCTGTATTTTTGATCAAATAAATGCAGCCTTGGTGACCAGAAGAAAACACATAAACAAATAAGTGCGAATTAGGGTCAGTTGCATACCACTTTTCCTTATTTTCTCGGCATGCAAAGTCCCATACTGCAATTCCGTTGCAGAATTAAACGGAAGAATTAAACTGCTGGTTTGACACAATCTGATTTGTAAAAAGCACTATATAAATAATGGTGACTTGACGTCATTGCTTGGTTTATTGCTGATTCCAAGCTCTAAAATACCATGTAGATAAAATAGTTTACAATACCACTTGAAATGATAAGGTGGCTCTTTGCGAGGCGGTTGTGGCACTGACCGTGTGTGGAGTAACTGTAGAGCGTCTGAGCGGGTGGAGTGCCGCTGAAGTTGGACGTGTATCCCAGCAGACCGCTCTGTCCTGGTGAATGACTCAGGCCATCTTCTGTTTTAATATCTGATTGGGTGAGAGAAAGAGACACGATCAGCCGCCAGGTCAGCTGTGGTGTGCACTATTTAGGGCGGGTGTGAAATGTCACTCACTGTAGGACGTCATGCTGTAGCCCTGTGTGTGATGTGTGTACGGTGTGTACGGACCGGCCGGCTGTAACGCGGGGCTGTACTGCGTCTGTCCGTAAGCAGCCATGACTGAGGACAGCTGCTCTAGATGTAGTCAAGAGAACCAGATATTAAATATAGGCAGCCTCTTCCTATTGCAATAACACACAAACAACACCTGATTCATAAACAAATGACTCTTTTGAATCGGTTCTTCTGTTTCTGTTCTTTTTGGTTCTTTCTTATGTTTATAATTAAATTATATATATGTGTTGTTCATTTTAACTGTTTTTTTTTATGTCTATATGCTTTAGATTTTATTCATTTTTAATTTCATGATTCGATCAATTCTTCAAAAGTACTGAAAGAATCAAAATCATTACATGGAATACAATTCAGAAGCAAATGACTCTTACGGGCTGGTTCTTTTTAATGAATCTGACAAGCCAATCAGTCTCAAATTCACGAGTTATGAATTGAATTCAAAAGTAAAAGATTCCTTAATGGAATCGTTTGGGATTCTGAATCATTAAGTGGAATCCAATTCAAGAACGAACGATTCTCATGAGCTGATTCTGTTTTATGAATCAGACAAAACAAGTCATTCTCAAACTCCTAAGTTATTTTGTTCTCATAAGTACTAAAATGACCATTAAGTGGATTTCGTAAATTATGATTCTCATCCCTATGATTGTACGGTTTAAAACAAGGATTTTATGTCTACACTGATGAATTAATTCTCCACAAATCAACTGTAAAACCATTCTTATGCAATTTGTCACCTTGAACTGAATGTTTTGTGAAGAATTTGCATAGAAAGTTTGCCAAACAGTTTAAACAGAAACATTCACTTTTTTTCCCCGAAGACGAGTTTAATCTTGCGCTTTTTGCTCCTTAAGTGCATGCATCTTGTTTTAAGGATGATATTTTTATTGGAAAACAACAAGATTTTTGCAGTGTTTAAGTGGAGCCCAGTGTGAGTATAGAACTAGCTGTAATATCACTCACATGGCCTAAAATCGTCGCCCAATGTGTAGATCTAGTGGCTCCTGTGAATAAAAGGAACAGGTTAAACGCTTTCCATCTGAATGAATGCACTAGAGGAAGTTCATTAAATCCAAACTGCTAAGTTGTTGCAGACCTGTGGCTGTCTGTCGTCGTACTTCCGCTTGCACGCGTTCAGCTGTCAGCTCTCCTGAAATAGACAGACCTGTTTGTCAGAAATATGTGACCTAAAAAGCACACAGGCTTTGGTCCAACAGCATGCATCTCCAAAGTAAAATATGAAGAAGGAACCAGAACATAAAAATGCACAAAGCACAATTCATGTCTAATCGTGTCTTACACAGGGGAAAAAAAAGGTGAACGGACAGTTTTTCTGAATGACGAGGCACCTGCGGTTTCCAAAAACACATATAATTAGAATTCTGTGATACAGACAACAGTGAAACGCTTGTTTGTATAAACCGGCTCGGTAGGACTGTGTTCCTGGAACAGAACAATGTGTAACCTGCTTTTTCAACCTGGCATAATTTGGCATCACAAACCGCAGGCAGAACTGTGTGCCAGCAGTTCAGGACGGGCGAAAAACGGTGGCTGTTCTTGTGCATGTAGATGTAAGAAATGCAAGCGTCCCTGTTGTGTTCTGGGCTGGTAATGGCAAGGTGCGGTGCATACTGTACATGTGGGTATAGTTTGCATGAATACAACTGAGAGACGATACGGGTGAAACACCGCAAATGACCTTGTAACCTTGACATGTTTTTTTTTTTAATTGCTCTTTCTCGTTTCATTTCTGCTTCAACTTTGTCTCAGACCTCAGGAGAAAATAAGAGCTGAGCTGAGCTAAAATGAATGCGATTAATTGTCATTTGATGAGAAATTTTTGAGTTTGCTTTGAGATCTCTGATTTTTGACTGCGATATGACCCGTCTCATCTGTGCTTGTCTTCATATAACGCCTGTATTTGTTTTCTCATTGCTGTCTGAGAACTATGATAATATTTGCTTTTATATCAAATTAACTTTGGAGAAAACTACAGCACAGTGTTATTTTAGTATCACTGAAATACTGTAATAATTGATTATGAAAATTTTGGTTTTATTTTATATAACTTGTATTAGTTGAGGTTTTAGTAATTTTGTTGTATGTTTTTGTCATGTGTTATTTTGTCATTTTAATTTTTTTTTAAATCAGTGTTATTATAGTTAAAACTAAAACTAAAATTAAAACCATAAAACACTTTGAAATAAAATAAATGTTAACTGGAATAATATATATATATAATTTATTTTTTTTTACTTTTATTTCAGCTAGTTGCCAAAGCAACATTTTTATTTTTATTTAGTTTAACATGATGTGCTAAAATAACTAAAACTAAAGTGAAAATACAAAATAAATAAATAATAACAAATTATAAAGACTAAAGACAAAAAATTACAAAATTACTAAAACGTTAATTAAAATGAAAAGGAAAACAGCAAAATAAACACTGATTCAAAATATTAATAAAAATATATCAATGAAGTATGTCTTATTTTATATATCAATATAATTTTTTAATATTTTCTTAAACATTTAAATTATTATTTTTTTTTTAGTTATAATTTTAGTTTTAGTTTACGATAATAACCCTGTTACTCTGGTACCAGAATAAACATCTCATGCCGCCAAATCCTGACTCTTCTCTTAGATTAAGACACACGCTTGCCGTAAGGTTGCTTCTGACAAAAAGAAGCACAAAGCTGTTGTCTTCCTCTAAACTTCTCCCTGTTTCTCCCTCAGGGCTCCTCCATCTGTCGGCCGGAGCAGAGAGACGCTCGATGTGAGCAATATCACAAGAGCAGCTGCTGTCAGAAGCAAAGATGGAAAGGAAGGGCAGCAAAAGGTGAAATAAGAGCCAAAACCAGAGCTTTCATACAACCACGCAAGAGTGGGCTTGTACGTGTGTGACCTCAAATGCAGATCGTGACAAGCCAGATTCAGCTCGTTTCTAATTAATCTGACAGTTCAGACAGCAGCGAGGTGAATGATGTTTTGGCGGCTGCGGTCGGGCGGCACCCAGCGAATGTTTAAAGCAAACAGAGACAATGTCTCGCTGCAGCTCGCTCTGTTTTCTCAGTAAACAGTTGCGACACTACCGTACGGCATATTTATGATTAAAGAAACATATCATGTGACTGTCATAACGACAGCAAAGCTGCAGTAATTCCATCGCTTGACGTGTTAAAGGTGAAACTTTTTCCACTTCAAAAGTTTTAGCTCTTAAGAAATGCATGAATGATGTGTGATAGTATTCAATCGATACGAGTTTCTCAATGGCCGATAAGGATGTCATCTAAAGAGTCAATATTGTGCCAATATATGCATACTACAAATGGGATGCTCACAAGCTTAAAAGCTTATTTTGCATATTTATTTAAAATGCAATAAAAAATGGTGGGCATGGTTATTGGCTGGGCTCATCAATCAAATATTAGACAATTAATCGCCTTGTATTTCCACAAATACGTCGTAATGCTGTCAAACGATTCGCATCCTAAATATAAGTTTTTGTTTACATAATATATATGTGAAAAATATGTTATGTTTATATATTTAAAATATTGATATATAATATAAATTATATGAATATAAATATATACATGGAAATATTTTCAAAATATATACTGTATGTGTGTGTATTTATATATACATAATACACACAGTATAAACACATATATTATGTAAACAAAAACTTTTATTTTGGATGCGATTACTCACGATTAATCGTTTGACAGCACTAGTCATAAACCAAACCATTTCCACCAACTGTAATCAGTATGAAGTCTAAAAAATGCAGATTTAATGTTTTTAAATCTATTAGCTGAGCTTAAAGTCTTTTTTTATTGTTTTATTTAACATTTCACTATATATGCAAGCTTCTTGGTTCTCGCATATATAGTGATCGTATGGAAGCATGAACAAGATTGCGAGCTAATCATACTTGGAAAATAGTGTGCAAGTCATACTGACAACTTTTATAAAAAACATTTTTTTTTTTTGAGAATTTGAACTTTTGTTATTTTTTAATACTGTTGTTTGAGTACTAAATTTACTATATTATGTAAACAAAAACTTTTATTTTGGATGCGATTACTCACGATTAATCGTTTGACAGCACTAGTCATAAACCAAACCATTTCCACCAACTGCAATCAGTATGAAGTCTAAAAAATGCAGATTTAATGTTTTTAAATCTATTAGCTGAGCTTAAAGTCTTTTTTTATTGTTTTATTTAACATTTCACTATATATGCAAACTTCTTGGTTCTCGCATATATAGTGATCGTATGGAAGCATGAACAAGATTGCGAGCTAATCATACTTGGAAAATAGTGTGCAAGTCATACTGACAACTTTTATAAAAAACATTTTTTTTTTTTGAGAATTTGAACTTTTGTTATTTTTTAATACTGTTGTTTGAGTACTAAATTTACTAAAACTGCTATAAAAATAATCTATAGCTAATTAGAAATATTTACAAAAAACTAATTAAAAAAAACACTCAACAAAAACTTAAAAATAAAAAATAAAAAAATGAAAATGTAAAAATAAAAGTCAATTCAAAATATTAATAAGTACTGTAATAGTACATAAATAATACTAAAACAACACTGGTGTCAACATTATGCTAAATAATGCATTTGTGTCTTACAAAAAAACAACAACAAAAACAACTGTTTTTATTGCTAACTAAAACCATTCAAAATCATTAAATGAAATGAAGCTAAATAAATAAATACAAATTTAGAAATGTTGGCGTAGCAACCAACTGAAATAAAAAAAGTTTAAGTACTAAATTTACTAAAACTGAAAAAAAAATGAATTAAATATAAATATAAATATAAAAAATAAACAAAACCGATAAAAAACACTTAACCAAATAACTAAAAATGTAATAAAAATAAAAATTGAAAATATAAAAATAAAAACCAAATAACTAAAAATTTAATAAAAATTGAAAATATAAAAATAAGCTACATAAGAAGTACTATAATAGTACATAAATTACATTAAATCAACATTATGTTGAACACCCCATCTTGCATCTCACAAAAAACAACCCAAATTATAAATGACATGAGAGTCCACTATCCCTTTAATTTCATATAAACATGCTCTCACACGTCTGCTTGTTTTCAGAAAACAGAAAGAGCGGTTCTCCAGGTCAGAGATGCAGCGATGGGTTTTCTCACACCTGCTGACGCAGCACTCCACACAAAACCTTTCCCAAGAAAATAAACGTGACTGGAGACAGCAAGCGCAGGTCGCCCAGCAGTCCTGACTTCCTCCCAGAGTTCCTGTGATGCACAGTGTGTTTCCTGGTACGAGCGTGTCCCGGAGCGAGAGGGCATGGGAAAGAATGCTCTGCCCCCTTTCACAGTGGTAAACTGAGCTAAAACAAACTCGGGACAGTGCACGGCCGGGACAGAGCGCTTCACCTGGCCTCGCGCTGTTCTGCTAGCGTTGGCGTCTTTCACGGCTATCGTATTCCACACAATGCCTCGCATCATACATCAGTGTGCGCTGTCACATCTATATCTCTTTTTACCCAGCATTTTTTTTCCCAATTCAATTCAATTGGGGGAGATTTCTCTTCAGAATCATGGGTAATGTAGTTTCTCACCAGTATCTCTGCTGTTAAAAATGATTATTATTTAAAAAAAAAAAGTTGAAATCATGCAGGCTGATTGGTTCATCAAAATCATATGCCACCAATGAACAAGCTCGTAGCTCACAATAGGTCTGTCTTTAATGGTTTATTACTTATAAGGATAAAAATCAGTTGCTCTTATGAGAAAACGGATGTGATTTTTACTGTTGCGCTGTACTCTGCATGTCCTCACAGGATCATTATGACCGGGTTAAGAGAGCAGGTTGTCTGTCTTTGAAACGAATCATGAGCCGTAGCTTTGCCATATGGCTGTCTGATTTACAGCGAGCTCTCCAACCCGAACCGTGATCTAAACCATTCAATCAAAGCCACCAAACTGCACTCTGGCCGGTAGCTGAGGGCTACGTCCCATATGGCGCTGGGCGTGGGTTCGCGGGTGACTGCTGCTCTGCCTGAAGGGAAATCGCGAGACACGGTGACCTCACTACAACAATGCAGCACTTCTGCAGCCCTCGTATTTCCAGCATGACTCCAGACAGA